CTCTGGTTTCGGGGTTTGGGGTGGCCTAGCCACGGCCATGGTTTCATATACTAATATGAATAGTATAATATCAATAGGATTTTACTCATACTTTAAATAACTTACTAAAAAATTTGCTTTGGTTTTTGGTTCATTAATTACAAAAGTTTGAAACTTATGTAACTTATTCAACGAAATGCACAACGAAAAGGTTAACTATAGGACTTTCATATATTTTGATAAAGGAAAAAAACACTTTCAAGAGGCAAAAAAATGGTAATTAAAACTAGTCAATGAGTAAAAAAAGATTTTAACTTTTTTAAAAACTGATTTTAATTTTTCATTTAGTATTAACTAAGGTTGATTCCTATTTATTTCTGAATTTCTGTTTGGTTCAATAAATAAATAAATATCACAAAATACGGGATTGTTTATAAAACTTTTATAAATATTTCTTAAGTTTACATTATAATCTTATCTAATTTATACCACGCACGCATAAACACACACATACATAACAATCGGTATCTTTTTGTTAAGGAAAACAAAAACACATTCAGGATGTAAAAAAAATAAAAATAAAAATTAGTCAATGATTAAAAAAAGATTCTAATTTTTGTAAAAACTGATTTTTGATTTACTAGTAACTAAGGTTGATTCCTATTTAATCTGAGTGACTGTTTGATTCAACAATTAAATACAAAAATAATCATAATTTATGAGACTGTTTATAAAATGCTTAAAATTATTTCTACCGTTACTATACTTGTAAAAAATCTATACAATATATAAGAATCTATAAAACACTTGCATTTATATAATCTATATAATGTTACATAAAAAATAAACTAAAATATTTATGAGTATTACTTAAACAATTACCTTGTATAACAAGTGGGACAATGCCAAAACTTTGTTTGTAAAAGAGAGTCATCCTTTAGATCTTCACACTTTCTGTGTGACCGCAACAGACATGAATCACATGCTGTTGCGCTACCAGTTTTATTGTCTTATTCTAATTACTTTATTGATGGCTTTCCATGAATCCGAGGTAAAATATAATTGAACTGATGAAAGCAATCCTAATGCATTTCATCAAGAGTTTACAGAGCCGACGGCACCGGGGGAGCACGTGCCCCCTCTCCCCTACACTTTTTTTTTAAGAACTTTTTTTTTTCCAAAGAAAATTCTTGATATAATCAGCTTTTTATTAAAAATTGACGATTATGCCCCTTCACTTCGAAACCCGTATCGTCGGCCCTGATTGATTATGAAACACAATTTGGTCTTCTTTTTATAGCACTTCTATCAATAAGGGTGCCAGAAAGGGCTTTCTGTACATCCTCAGCTTTTAAAAACCAACTAAGCATCGCTGTAAGAGAAAAAGATTTTAATTACTAAAACCGTATAAAAAATAGGAAAATAGAATAAGGAAAAAATGTAAAATAAAGAAAAAATTAAACTAAAAATGTATATTACTGATTAAAACAAATTATTTTTGTATTGTATTTTATTGTATTTTGTATTGTATTTTATTGTATTTTGTATTGTATTTTTTTGTATTGTATTTTTTTGTATTTTGTATTAATTTATTTATGCAATTTGTAATTGATATTAATAAATAAAAAGATTAAAAACAGTATAAAGGAATAAACTACCATATCTTTTAGCAAATTCAAGTTTAACAAAAGGATCCGGAACATTAGAAGAGTGTTGGTAACGTTTTTTAGAAAGACCTATAGTTGTGGGTGTTGCACCATTCGGACGTCCACATTAAACAACACATTGAGGCGACTGTATCTTTTTTAGGAAAGAATCTAAAATAAACATTTGAACTTTACAAAACCATAATCATGACCATGACTCGTGCTTTAATTACTTTTTTTATATTGCAGATTTTTTTTCAAATTTGCAGGTTGCATAGTTTTTAAATTTATATATACTTACAATACCTGCTTCATTATCCACACCAAAACATTCTTCTGGGTGTGGTTGTGTTTTATCAACAACAGATTGTTCAGATGTCCTTATCTGGTTAAATTATCCTCTTTCTGAGGGTTTCCAATAAAGTATTCTATTTTTCCGCTGTAACGTAATTCTTTAACAGTTGATGACGATGTTGGTATATCCTCAGGTACTCCTGCAATGGAAAAATCTCAATATAAGAAATTATCCGATATCCTAAAGAATATCAACACAACACTATAATAGTGTTTATAAAATTTAAAACAATTATTTTTGACATACTAACATGTTTTTTGTTAGAATTAAATTTCACAAAAGAAATTGAGATATCAGAAGAGTGACAATGACGCTTTTTAAGAAAATCTATAGATGTAAGTGCGGCCTTTTTTGGATGTCCATATAGAGCAACTGTATCTTCTTTAAGCAAGAATCTAAAATATATTTGTAAATTTCTATAGTTCAATTTTATTCTTATGACTTATCATGACTCATTTTGTAATGATTTTATCTTCAATTGCAGATGATTTTTTAAAATATATTTACCTGTAATACCTGCTTTATTCTCCCCACAATAAAACATTCTTCTGGGTTTGTGTTTTAAAACTAACAGATTGTTCTGATTCCACTTCTCTGATTCTTTTTCTGAAGGTTTTCATTTAAGTCTTCTATTTTTCCACTGTAAAGTAATTCTTTAACAGTTGGCGATGAAGTTGGTGTATCCTCAGGTACTATTGCAATGGAAAAATCTGGAGATAAGAAATTATCAGATATCCTAAAGTCTATCTCTTCAAGCTCATTTACAACCATATCCCTTCTCTGTTTCCAATCCTTTTGCAATGCAAAAGCAACAAGCGAACAGCAGAGATTTGGCGACATGGCAGACTCATGAACTTGCAAAACATACAATCACACGAGTTAGAAGTAACATTAAGCAGACCTTCACTGCTATTACTTACATAATTTGGTTTTCAAATAGTAAAACATTGACTTTGCAACGCAAGGTAATTTGTTTTAGTACTTGATCAAATGCATATGATGTAAGAATTTTCTTATAACCTGCCTCAGCAGAATTAGAATCAAATAAAACACGATGTTCGTTGCTCATTTGTTATACCAAGCTTAACAGTAGTAATTTTGCGATTAAAAGATTAAAAGAAAATACAAAAATGTAAATTTTAATGAAAAAGATTCAAAATCAGACTACTCACCATTTAAAGACAAGAATGATGATGCACTATTGGAGGGATAAATGCAATGAAATTCATTTGTTACAAAAAAAAGGTAACACACTTCATTTTCAATTACTAAATTATGCACTCACTAAATGCTCTTTTCTTCAAGAAAATTTGAAGAAAAGAAAATTTTGGTGAGTAGTACAGAATTAAGAAACTAAAAGAGGATGAACTGTATAACAAAATAAACAGAACAAAAAGAAAATCGAAAAGTATGTAGAAAAAGAATAAGAAATATTTGAATCTTGAAGTATCTGATGAAGCGTGTGGAAAAAAAAAGGGTACTCAGCAGCGCAAACTAAAATATTCTTTCAATGCTTCTTATTTCAATATCTTTATAGTAAAAATTGTAGAAAATGTGCTTTTGGTAAATACAGAGAATAAATCAATAATATTGATTTATTCTCTGTATTTACCAAAAGCACATTTTCTACAATTTTTATTCTGCTACATCTCTTATGAACCTTTCAAATCGCTTATCGCTTTCAAAATATAAAGAGAATAGAGTTTGCTCAAATTCCTTTTCTACACACTCATCATGGCCTTATCCCAGTATTTTCTGCTTAATTAGAAAAAAGACTAGACTTTTCAATGTACAAATTTTTTCTTACTCATGTTTATCCATTTTATGTTTTCAATGTTGAACTCTTTGGATTAATTCTTCTTCTTTCTCTGCTATAAGGCCCAAATCGTCTATATAGAATAGCTCTCATGGTAAATCAACTCTGAGTTCTCTAAAGAGAGAGAGCTTCCAAAACAATAAAAAGAAAAGGACTGATCACTGAACCTTGATGCATATATATATATATATATATATATATATATATATTTCTTTCTAATTTCCTACTTCTTATTTATGATTAGTGTCTGATCGCAGTTCGTTGTTAATTTTTCCTTACTAAAAAACGTTTTTCTCAAAACTTTTTAGTAACGTTTTTAGTAAAAGTTTAAAAAAAATTAAATTAGAAAACATTTCTAATAATAAATGTGTATTTATTAAACATGTTAAACAAAAACTGTTAAACAAACTTTTTATCACAAACATAATTTGTTATACACAATGTCTCACGTGTGCGGCTAATGCAGATTGCTCCGTTTTATTCCCTGTTGTATTGTTTTTGTGTTGTTGCATGCATGTGTTATTTGCATTTTTGTTTCACCTATATACTTTTTGTTATAATGACATATAATAAGGTAGACTCCTCGGTGGCTGTTCATTTGTAGTTTGGATTTATTTCTTGATGTTAATGTTGCCTGTAGGTTTAAGTTTGATTTGCAGATCGTTTTATATTCTGCCTCCCAAAACACCTAACGTAATTTAGGAGACAATATCGGTACCCAAGTTAATGAAATTAAGGTAAATAGTAGTCACTTGTTATTTTTTGTTCTTTCGTTTTATTTCTTTTATGATTTTTTATGAGATTGGACTGTTTGTAGCCATTTTCGACAAATACTTAAATAAGGAATTTCAGTTTATTTTCTATATGTTTCTGATTGCATACATCAAATGGTCTATGTACGAAACCCTTAAATATTCCATTTAAAATTTGTGGGTCATGGTTTTATGTTGCCTTAACTTGAATACTAGTAATTGCACTTTTTCTGTGTATTTTAAATTCATATTTACCATTATTGTTATTTATTATGCATATGTCTAGAAAATTTAGTTTCTTTTTGTCGTTTTCAAATTCGATAGTATATTGTATTTTTGGATGCTATTGATTAGGTATTGTCTTAAATTGATCAGCCTAGGCACTGTTAGGGACTCTAGCATGACTGTTATCTACGTATTTAAAAAATGACTTTAAATCAATAAGCGGGTTGTTTATAAAGATAATTAAATTTTTATTGGATAAGAATGTTCAGGCATATGTGCCTTCACTAAACCATACAGGTGGTATCGGGACACTGGGATAAATTTGATGATATTTATCCTTTGCGAACCGACCTTTTTTATTTAATTTTGATAGTTGGACTCTGATTTTCATTGCATAACTTTGTGTTACAATGATCCTTATTGATAATTTTAGGTGGTCCAATTTGTTCTCGAATCTTTTTTATTGTTTTATCATGAGGGATCGTTACAAAGCCCATTCCTTTATCAAATGGGTATATATCAATATTGTTACCGTTTTTTAATTGTGTAAGTGCTTTCCGTTGTTCAAGAGTTATGTTGTCAATTTTATTTTTTTTGTTTAGTTTTAATTCTCTCAAAACTTCTCTCCTCGACTTTTGCGCAGCTTCATCTTTTTTGTTGTATTCAATTTTTAGAGCAGATGACTCAGTTATTGAGATGATGTCAAGATACGGAAGAGATTTTATTGTTGGTGCAAATTTTGGTCCAAGGTTAAGGAGATTTTTTTGATGTTCTAGAATTTCTGTGTCACAAATTTAAAACAGCTTCTTTAGTATAGATTGTCGAATGGGATGTTCGTTTAACGCGTTGATCTTGAAGATGTTTGAATTTTTTAATTAATCTCTTGATTTCACGAACATATTTTCTCGTGCTTTTTCAGTGATTTTTTTTACGGCTCATTCGTTTCAAGTATTTTCAAGAGTTCATTTTCAATTAATTTAACTTTATTAATTTGTTTAAAGAATCATGTTCTTAAATCATTTTTCAGAGAAATAAGAAGTTCAAACCAGCAGTGTTCAATAATGCAGTTTTCAGCAGTGTTCAATAGTAAAGTGTTTAGCAGTGTTCAATAATGAAGTGTTCAGCAGTGTTTAATAATGCAGTGTTCAGCAGTGTTCAATAATGCAGTGTTCAGCAGTGTTAAATATGAAGTGTTCAGCAGTGTTCAATAATGAAGTGTTCAGCAGTGTTCAATAATGAAGTGTTCAGCAGTGTTCAATAATGCAGTGTTCAACAGTGTTCAATAATGAAGTGTTCAGCAGTGTTAAATATGAAGTGTTCAGCAGTGTTCAATAATGAAGTGTTCAGCAGTGTTCAATAATGAAGTGTTCAGCAGTGTTCAATAATGAAGTGTTCAGCAGTGTTCAATAATGAAGTGTTCAGCAGTGTTCAATAATGCAGTGCTCAGCAGTGTTCAATAATGAAGTGTTCAGCAGTGTTAAATAATGACTTTTATTGTTATTAATAGAACAGTTAATTTGTAATGACTTTGGGATGAGTTTGTGTTTGACGCATTTTTGTAGAAAGATGTATTGATTTTTTGCCATATTTTTCTTCATTTTTTGTAATGTTGTTGTTTTATTATATATTTCAGCTCCGTATTTAGCTGTAAAATAATTTTTGAATGTAAACATCATCTATGAGAGTATGTGAATTATTATTTTATAAACATCAATAAATACGAATATATATAACTAGCTTACTTTACCTAAGAGTGTGAAATAAGCAGAGTAACAGAGATGCATCTGGAAAAGCAGCCCGTAGTAGCAGCACGTACCTCTTTCTATTATGTCTTTGATAGACATGATAGAAAGAGGTACGTACCTCTTTCTGTCATGATAGCATTAGTCTTTGACCACGAAACATTGTTTCTCTGAAATGCTCCCACAAACCAACTAAAAATATTAAAAAAGAGTTTTATATTATAGTAAAAAACTTTTTTTATTCACATAACTTAAAAATAATAAAAACAGCAGTACCATTATTAAACATGACTGGAGAATTATAGAGTTATTTTTTAAAAATAGATTATGCAATTTACTAACCAGCATCTTCACAAAATATAAACAGGCAGAGTTTCTATTAGTTTATGCATGACATTTTACAAAAATTAGTATGCTCCGCAAATTTATTTTTTTGTTGAGCCATTACTGTTTAGACTTATTTTAAACAAATTTTTAAAGTTTTTCAAAAACCGTTTTTCATAAACGAACGAGATATTAAAGTATCAAAGTCGTTCGTTCAACGTTCAAATGCAAACAAATTTTCTCTTTATTTTTAGCACGCAAATAAGAGACAAAACTTGATACAACTATAGTTCTATTGTAAAAAACTTTTAATAGAAACTGCTCGATTAAAAAACCAAAACTTTTTATAGAAACTGCTCGAATAAAAAACCAAAACTTTTGATAAAAACTGCTCGAATAAAAAACGTTTTTGTAACGTTATATTTGTCAAATAAAATTTTTTTTTAGCATTATGGATGAGTGGAAGTACTTCCAAAAATGGACCTCACCCTTCTGCAAGTAACTTTTTAATCTGTGTCTAAAAACATAGTTTTTTTTTTTTCAGGATACTTCTCAATTTTTTCCCATTCTCTGAAATCCACTAAGGCTAAAAATCAACAGAAAAAAATTTCGTAGCCGGGAAATGATAGCTATAAAATTTGAAAAAATTAATTTTTTCGAAAATAAATTTCTGTTACATCAATGTTGGATTAATGAGTAATGAAATTTATTTTTATTTTTTATTTTGTTTTCAATAAAGTTAATAATGATAGATAAGTTGAATAGTGTTATTATGACTTTTTAAAAGCACATTAAATTTTAAATGAATGGGCTAGGGTATGTTTTAGGCAAAAAGTAGTAAAGAAGGAAATATGCTTAAGCTTACAAAAATGTGCGCTTTCTCGTCTCGTAAAAAAAATGTACGCTTTCTCGTCTTGTAAAAAAAATTTTCTTCAAATCTGTTACATAAATATTTTTATTTTGCACTTATAAAAAACAACTTCATCAAATGGTTTTCATGCATCAAGTAAACACCTTTAAGAATTTCGGTGTTAATAGATTTGTGCTCAAAAACATGCGTAATTTAGAGTAAAGCTCAGCAAAAGTGTGTACCAAAAATAGTTTTTTTTTTGCCTTTTTGAGGACATTTCTCAAGTTTTTGTCATTCTCTAAAGCCCACTAAGGCTATTAATAACCAAAAAAACAAAATCAAAAGTCAAAAAGTGATTTCTGTAAAATTTAAAAAATCTTTTGTAAATGAATGTTGATGTGTTGTCAATGTTTCTTAAAACATTTTTCTCATTTTATTGTTTTTTTAAACATTTATTTTTATATATATAACACAAATTTTTAAACATGAATAGTAAGGTGAATAATATTATTATTAGTGTAATGCATAGTTTAATTTTATATGAATATTGAATTTTTGTAACAGGCTCGGCTACGTTTATTTAAAATATTTTAAGAGGCTCATGATTATGCTTACAAAATCGTGTGCATTCTCAAAACCCTTGTAGTCACGAAGAAAATTATCTATACTTATATATCGATGGCATAGTGCACAGATGTGGTAAGTGCAAGATAAAAAACGGTAAAAACTATCATTTGCGCGCGTAATTATAATAAGAAGAGTTTTTGTATTTACCACATATTGTCAATTAGTAGACTCTTTATCATTTATCGTACACATACCATATTTATGCACGATAAACTATAAATAAAAACACGTTTTTCAGCGTACTTATCTCAATTTGACCAAAATTTGTACTTACCCATATCTGTGCACTATGCCGTCGATATAAATATTTTTGTTTTGCAACGCAATAGCTTTATTAAATGATTTTCATGCATCAAATAAACACTAACGAAAACTTCAGGATTCTGCTCGTAAACATGCCTCAATTAAAGTAACACTCAACAAAGTGCTTACCACACGCTCAATTTTTAAACATAACCTGAGCGTTATATATTTATAAACATATAATCCTCTTATAAAAAACATGTCACATGCCAATTTAAGTCATCTTTGGTCGACTAAAAGTTTCAGTTTTGTGGCTAACATTGGTCATTCTATCAAAGTACACGCAAATAAAGTAAAAAAGAGAAAGAAACACTAATACCAGAAAGCTAGCGTTTCCAATAAAGTATTCTATCAATCAGCTGTCATGGGCGGCAGATTGATAGAATATTTTAGCCAGCTTCTCAGCATTGAGAAAATTTTATAAATAAATACTGATGACTATTTTAAAACTCTTTATGGTTTAAATCTATGTTTAAATCTGGTTTAAGTCTGATGTAGCTTATTCTCAAAGGTTTCCTGGCGAATATCTTACCTGCAAGAGTGAAACTTTGTGTTACTTCTCTTTTAATGGATGTGATGAACAAGATTCAACACATCATTTAATGATAATGACAACACAAATGCATCAATTATAGAGTAATCTAAGCTGAACGCTCCAAGAGATTTGACCAGGCAGATGTGATCTTAAGTATACGAGAGTATTACAACACCGTTGATCAGATCTTTGCTATATGCTGTGACATCACTGCTTCTAACACTCCAACACATAAGTATTTTTTTGGAGTTTTTACCATCTTCACAACCTTCTCTGTTCTGATTTATCTGCAGACAACACATGTTAGAGGTACACATTTCTTAATTTGTGGAGGATCTTACTAATGAGATTGCCTATAGGATGACTGAGAATGTACCCTAGTTGATGAATCAGGAAAAGAAAAAATGATAAAAATCATACATTTAAATTTGTCTGAGTAATTTCATATAGGAAACCAAAGCTACCAGTTATTAGTAGGTCAACGGAGCTTACTGAGCGGAGTTTCTTTAGGTTTCTAACTGTTGTGGCCATGGCAGGAATTTCTGTAGCCAAATTCTGTAAACTACGGCAGACTTAATTAAATTTTGAGGGACAGGGTAAAACCACCAATTCCTGGCCACTTAATTTTAAACTGAGTCGTATATTACCACGAAGGTTCATGAAAAAAATATTTTTAAACTCTTAAAAATCTTCTAGAGGTACAACTTTTTTTTTTTTTGTCGATAAATTAACAAGGTTTAGCACAAATACAACAAGGCGTAAAAAACACCATATCATGGCCGGAGATCCAAAACTTGGCCTTTATGAACTTATTCCTGGCCATCACGTTTTACGAAGTAAAAGTAGTGACAATATTTTTAAATTTAAATAAAAAACAAAACAAATTTATTGTCCTGAGTGTAATTAAGTAAGTTCTGCATAAATTTTTAGTTTTTCAAATTCAATTCTTTATTTAATAGCTAAACAAACAATAGACTTCGAATCGCTTCACAACACTTATATGTTTTCAAATTAGGAGACGTCTTAAAAAACATTAACTTGCTATATTTATGTGATTACTACTTACGTTTTAGTATGAAAATAATAAAGTAGAATAAATAATGTAAATAGTAAAAAATTAGATTCAACTTTGAAACTAAAATTTAAATTCTTATTCTACCTAAATTTATATTATAACTAGATCTTATTCATGGCCAAGATTAGGTTAACACCTTCAACTGTTAATATGTTAGTATCTGTAGTTTATAAATATATTAAAATCATTATTTCAAATACCATATTTAGCAATATTATAAAGTTTTTTTGAAAGATATTTTATTTGAGTAAGGAAAATTTCTTTATTCATCTTTGAATAGCAATATCTAACTCTTGCTTTAAGCTCTTCCAAATTCTCAGCTCTCCAATTATTCTCGTACACTAGCCGTTTTAAATCACTCCAAAAGTTTTCAATTGGTCTTGCTTCTGGAACGTTAGCTGGGTTTATATCTTTGGGTACAACATTTTTTTCAATTTTAAAAAGTCGATGACCGACTTTGCGTAATGTGATCGAGCTAGATCAGGGCAGAAGATAAACTCATTGTCTTTTTTATAATATTCTGATACTTGAGAAAGTTTTTTCTAGTATTTCTTTATAAGTGTACTGGTTGATTGCCTGCTTACTGTGATGAATATAAAGAGGGTTTATTCCACGGGGGCAGATGCAACAAGAAACTAAGAGCTTGTCCTCGTACTTTTTACACAAATTATATCTTACTTTTTCAGAACATTGAGAAGGATCAGCAGCATAAAACCTATCATTACCAGCTAATGTGCTATTGTTTAAGGTAAAATAGCTTTCATCATCCATAACAAAATCCAGGTTTTATAATTTTCGTACAATTTACGATGTTTAGGACGCGTAGTTTTCTTCTACTGATGGCTACGAACAAGACGATTTGTTTTTTTGAAAGTTCGAATGTTAGTCAATATTTTTAATACTTGGAAAATTTGAGTTTGACTACAGTTAAAAACTTGAGCTACTTTCTTTTGGGAACACCTTTGAGCTACTTTCTTTTGGGAGCACCTTTGAGCTACTTTCTTTTGGGAGCACCTTTGAGCTACTTTCTTTTGGGAACACCTTGACTTATTTTCAAAAAAAAGCAGCAATCTTTGGAATATTTTCTTTAGTAAGCTACCTTAGCGATTCGACAACTTCCAACTTTTCTTTTTAGAGATCCATTCTCCAATTTTACGATTTCATCGTTGGCAGTTGATCTGGGTAAACCCCATTGCATAAACTGCTTAGCAACAAACGCTTTACCGTTTTCTCGATTTTTTTCGATCATTTTTTCGAGGTCCTTTACTTAGACTATTTTATTTTTAATAATTATATAATATTTTTAACTTAATTAAATTAAATTTAAATAGATTATAGAATTCTCTTTCAAATAAGTATAAAGGTTTTTTTGCGCGCATGAAATAAATTACATAATAAATGCAATCAAAATTTGTCCGAAATTTTATTTATAGGGTGTTATATTTATTATTTATAGGGTGTTGCAGCATGGACACCACACAGATTTAAGCTATGAAAAGCACATGGAGAATAAATTGCCAATTGGTTCTCTTTAATTATCTCTGCTTGTGCTCCTTCATACTGACCGCTCATGTTGCAACCGTTGTTATAACCTTGACCATGACAGTCTATCATTGGTATATTGTGTTTTTTAATAACACTGTAAATTAATTCAGCAATAGCTTTCCCATTTTCTAATTGCAGTCAACAAACTCTAGAAATCGCTCTTGAACTTCGTAGAGACTATTTTCTTCATTTAAATAAACATAACGCATTATAAATACAGTTTGTTCCAAATGTGCTGCATCAGGGGTTGCATCAACAAGTATTGAGTAATATTTTGCTGCTTCTCGTTCACTTAGAATAACGTCTAATACTTTTTTGGCACAAATAAACTCATTTTGTATTTCCGGTAAAATGTAATTTGATTGTTGTCTTCTCTTCAATTTTTGCGACTTCATCACTTTGTTCAGATGGTCTTTCAAGACAGAATCATAATAGCTCAAGAGCTCTAAAATGCCCAAAAAATTGCCATTTGCTGCAACTCCAACAAACTACCACTTGTTCCTCTAAATCCCAAACCTCGTTCGGCTAGAAACAATGGGACATCTAAAATTTGGCGAAGAACCTGTTTCCAGTGTGAGGCTTGTTTCTTAATGGTCTGCAGCATAATATCGACAGTGGAATTAGAGTCAATATTTTTTTCCTATTGCCGCCACCTAATATAACAATATTTATGGATGCTGCTGTTTTGATGCACTGAAATTTTGTCATGTAAATTTTTCCATTTTCTTTGAAAACAATACCCAGATATAGCTGTTAAACGTGAGCGACTTGCTGTTGGTAGTTTACTAAGAAGGCGACAAGGAAAACAAAACATCAATTGTTTAACTTTACTCTAAACAAGTCAATCACGGGGAACATATTCTCCATTTTCATACTTGTATGAAGCATACAAACAGGAAATGAATGTCCGTTCACATCTTTTAGAAATTGAGATGGGATCTTTTCTGGACCCCTACGAACTGCTTCCTCAATTTCAGAAGCATTTGGTCTTTCATTTTTTACACTACCATCATCATATTCAAGCAGTTTTGTTTTAGTAATTTTATTATTAGTTA